CAATCCTTGCTATACGTGAGCCCATTGTTGCAGCAACTGTGTCAGTCCATCTCGTTGAGGGCCATCCACTTTTTCTTTGACCCTCCACTTTACCAAGCATGATATTCTTCTCCAAGGAATGGTCCCTTCTGACAATATGACCAAAGTAGGTGAGATGAAGTCTGGCCATTCTCGCTTCCAAGGAGCATTCCAGCTGCACTTCCTCCAGGACAGATTTATTAGTTCTTTTAGCAGTCCATGGTACTTTCAGCATTCTTCACCAGCACCACAACTCAAAAGCATCAGCTCTTCTTTGGTCTTCCTTATTCATTGTCCAGTTCTCACATGCATATGAGGGGATTGAAAAAACATGGCTTGGGTTAGCCACACCTTAGTCTTCAAGGAGATATCTTTGCTCTTCAGCACCTGAAAGAGGTCTTTTGCAGCAGATAACATCCAGTGCAATACATTATCTGATGTCTTGACTACTGCTCCCATTGGTGTTGATTGTGCAACCAAGTAATATGAAATCTTTGGCAACTTCAATCTTTTCTCCATTTATTGTGATACTGCTTATTGGTCCAGTTGTGAAGATTTTGTTTTCTTTAAGTTGAGATGTAATCCACACCACAGACTGTGGTCTTTAATCTTCATCAGTAAGTGCTTCAAGTCTTTTCACTTTCAGCAAGCAAAGTTGTGTCGTCTGCATATCGCAGGTTGTTAATGAGTCTTCCTCCAATCTGGATTCTGCGTTCTTCTTTATATAGTCCAGCTTCTTGGATATTTGCTCAGCATACAGATTGAATAAGTATGGGGAAAGGATACAACCCAGATGCCCTCCTTTTCTGACTTTAAACCATGCAGTATTCCCTTGTTCTGTTTGAACAACAGCCTCCTGGTCTATGTACAGATTCCTCCTGAGCACAATTAAGTGCTCTGGAATTCCCATTCTTCTCAATGTTATCCATAATTTGTTATGACCCACACAATTGAATGCTTTTGCATAGTCAATAAAATACAAGTAAACATCTTTCTGGTATTGTGTTTTATTGAATACCAATGACCAAAGACCAGATGAGCTGTGATATGACATCAAGGACATCATACATAAAGAAAGCAAAAAGTCATTAAAAGACAGGCAAGGAAGAAAAGACCAAAATGGATGTCAGAAGAGACTCTGAAACTTGCCCTTGAACAGAGAGTAGGGGTTGCAACAATGGGCTCGACCATAGCAATGATTGTGAGGATGGCACATGACTGGACAGTGTTTCACTGTTTTATTATATTGTTGTTGTTGTTGTTATGTGCCATCGAGTCGGACCCGACTCATAGCAACCCCTCCTTGGGTTGCCGAGGCAGTATCACTACAGAAGTAGATTGCCCAACCTTCCTTCTGAGGAGTGGCTGGTGGATTTGAACCACCAGCTGTCTGGTTAGCAGTCAAGTGCCTTAGGCACTATGCTACTGGAGCTCCTTGTTTTATTATATAGGGTCACTATAAGTTGGAACTGACTCAGTGGTACCTGACAACAATATTATAAAGGACATCAAACTTGGTAAAATAGAGGGTGAGCAAAAACAAGGAAGACCCTTAACAGGATGGATTGACACCATGGCTGCAACGATGGGCTCAAACATGACAGTGATTGTGAGAATGGCACAGGACCAAGCAGTGTTTTATTCTGTTGTACAGAGTCACTGTGAGTGAGAACCAACTCAGCAGCCCCTAAAAGCAACAATGATCACTTTAAGTCCTTCAACTCTTCAGTAAAGGCTGTTAGCAGTCTCACATAATGCTGATGTGGAACATGAAAGAGTGGAAGTTTGGCTACTTTGTGTTCAGGGGTCAACCATTGCCCAGTCAATAGAGGCAGCATCCTGCCAGTCCACTGAGGTCTGAGGTGCAGGAATGTTTATCATTCAGTAGTAAGGGAGGAGCATCTATGGAATAGATGTGAGGAGAAGTGATCTGTGAGCCAGAGGGGCTTCTTCTGAGTGGATTGTTCTGTAAAGCACATCACCTCTTTCTAAATTTGTACTAGAAAAAGTGACATTTGAAGCAGAAAAAGTTGATGTTTGGATTATAGATAAAATGAAATATTTTTGTCAGAGATGACCTTGGTCTCCATTGTGGCCCAGGGAACTCACTATTTTCTTAGGCATACAGGGAGCCTTCTCTACCTGACCACTGATTCTGGCTCTTCTGAAAGGGCCTGTAGCCCTGTCTGACCAGATTCTTTCTTTTTGAGGCTTAAATCCTGTGTTTGAGGTGTCACTAGGTACAGAGGCATTGTACCTCCTCTTCAGACTGATAAGCTTTTTTTTTTTTTTTTTTTTTTTCAGTTCTAGGTTGCATCATAATTTATTGGTAGTCTAAAGAAGACTTGTTGTAACCTGTATCATATTCTTTCTGGGAACATCTATATTTGTTAAGGGGCTGGCAAATCATCCTTATCCCTCAATTTGTTCTATGCAGGAGCTGTCCAGTCATTTACTCTTCTCACTGGGAAGTGCTTATCTCACCTTTCACCCTCAATCCCCAATGCAAGGTTAAAAGTGAGCCACAACAGCTTCTAAGATCTATTAATGCCAGGGACCTACCTGAAATTCTCCATTGTCAACGTGAGAAACAGAAATTCTCCACACACACTTCTAGCACTTGCTATGACTACTGACATCTGCTTTCTTGGACAAGGGACAGGCCTTTGGTTAACCTTGTCATTTAGCTGAGTCTTCTTATATTCCAGACCCAATTGAATCTAACACTTCTAAGCTTCAAAATCTTTATTTTAAATGAGCATAGTTAGGATTTACTTTTAAGAAAATACATTCTCTTTTTGGTTACTTTTCATTTATATTCAAATAGGACATGCCAATTTCTAATCCCCCCCTTCACCAATATCAAATCTGTATCTTCATTATTCATCTATTTTCCCTCCCTATCCTGGTAACCGGGAGCTCTGGTAGCATAGTGGCTAAGACACTTGCCTGCTAACCAGA